TAACTGACTGAGCCACGAGGTGCACTCTAGCAGAGTCACTATTACTATCATTTTGCAAGTAAGAAAACAGGTACAAAGAGCTCAAGTAATTTGCCCAAGGTCACATGCAGTGGAATTAGTAACCAATGATTGTCATTCTGGCACATATCCAAAAATATTTTTGTGAGGAAGAAGAAAATGGCACAATATTACCAGCCCTGAACCAAAATCATGAATTCTGAAAGTGCTTGACAAAAAAACACCAAAGGCCTACAATTTCTAATCCAAGGAACAAACCCTAAAGGGAAACTTCTTTAAAAAGTCCTATATGCTGGCCTATCATGGGTATAAAGCTTCTAAAACTGAATGTTAATCAAGTGTCCTTTTTTCTTTTTTTTTTATTTTTTAAAAATTTTTTTTAATTTTTTTATTTTTTTTTTAAATTTTTTTTCAATGTTTATTTATTTTTGGGACAGAGAGAGACAGAGCATGAACGGGCGAGGGGCAGAGAGAGAGGGAGACACAGAATGGGAAACAGGCTCCAGGCTCTGAGCCATCAGCCCAGAGCCTGACGCGGGGCTGGAACTCACGGACCGCGAGATCGTGACCTGGCTGAAGTCGGACGCTTAACCGACTGCGCCACCCAGGCGCCCCCTCTTTTTTTTTAATTATGCAATGGTTATCCTTGTACTTACTCCCTTAACTTTTTTTTTTTTTTTTTTTTTTTTTTTAAGTTGGGAGAGAAGGAGAGGGAGAATCCCAAGATTCTGAGAGCCTGACATGGGGCTTAATCCCACGACCCTGGGATCAGGACCTGAGTGGAAATGAAGAGTCTGACACTCAACTGGTTGAGCCACCCAGGTGTCCCAAAATGTTCTTGACCACTATGCTTTTCAGCTTCTTTCCATGTGGAAGGATGCTCTGATCCATCATCCAAGTAGAATGCTGACGAATGCACAATAATGTCTTCACAGAGATGAACATATCCTTCTTTGAAGTCTTTCAAAAAAGTGCATTTCTTTATCTTTGTTCAAGTCATATGCTCTTCTTTCTCTTTAGACATTGGATGAAACAGACTCAGTTTACAATAAAAGAAGTTTTTGCTTTAAGAAAACAAAATATCTGTCAATCAACTCTCCTAGCTCTGGCTCATGAGTCTATGAACATCTTGTAACCTTCTGGTAAAAAGTGCGTCCTGCTGAGTGTCTTGCACAAAAAGTGTACTCAAACTTGAACACTCTGGACTGAATTTTTTTTTATTATTAACACTTGTCTTTCCATTTGCTACACATCATCTGTTGTGCACCTGGTCAGCATAAGCTAGTCCCCAAGTCTTATCACCATTGGGAGGAATGCCAAAATAGTCCCTGGGTCTCTAAAGCTAAAGCTTTTTCCAGACTCCATGTTGTCTCCTGTCCTTGGAGTGGCATGTTCCTCCTTTGCACCTCTCATTGATCCAATGAAGGCATACACTCAATACTTCTTTTCCTTGATTGGAGTGGATTAGCATGGCTTACTTTTACAGTTGGCTGACCTCATTGATTATATAGAGATCTTTATCTTGATCAGTATGGGACTATAAAAGAATAACTCTCAATCCTATAGCTATTACAACACCATTTTTTCTTGGACAGAGGAGTTTGGAATTTTTTTCAGAAATAATGAAAGGTCTTTGGAGGGTTCTGAGTTTCATCAGAAGGTTTTCATCTGTGATGTGTAGAACAGACTGGCATTGGAGAGGTCTGTAAGAATATTTCCTGCACCGTTGGAAATTCAATCCACTTTCAGTGCTGTAGCCACCTCCACACCCATACGGTTTGGATCCAATTACTGCCCTATCCTCATTGCCATCACCCTAGTCTGATCCATTATCACTTCTCACTTCATTTCTTATAAAGCTTCCTAACAAGTCTCCCTGCTTCCTCTTTTTCTCCCACTAAAATCAATTCTCTACATGGTAACTAGAGAATTTTTTAAAAAAAATAATTTTATTTTGTTATCATTCATGCATCCTAAATTCACCCATTTAAAGTATACAACTAAACAGATATTAATATATTCACAAGATTGCACAACCATTTGCAAGTATCTAATTTTAAAACATTTTAATTACCCTTCAAAAAACCCCATATCTATTAGCAGTAATTTCCCATTCCTCTTTCCTCCCAGCCTCTGGCAACCACTAATCTACTTCCTGCTTCTATAGATTTGCCGATTCTGGACATTCATATAAATGGAATCATAAAATATGTGGTTTTTTGTGTCTTGCTTCTTAGACTTAGTGTAATGCTTCTACCAGAAGTGTGTGAGGAGTACAGTTTCTTCTCCATGTCCCTCATCAAGATCAACAATTGGTTATTGTCTTTTTTATTAAAGCCATCCTAGTGGTTGGGAATCACCATCTCATTGTGGTTTTGATCTGTGTTTCCTTGGTAAATAATGTTGAGACTCTCTTGATGTACTTATTGACTTTTGGTATATCTTCTTTGAAGAAATTTTTATCTAGCTCCTTTGCCCATTTTAAATAGGGTTATTTATTTTTTTAATTAATGAGCTGTCAGAGTGCTTTACATAAAGTAAAGTTCCTTATCAGACATGGTTTGTAAGTATTTTTCTCTCATTTTCTGGGTTATTTTTTCACTTTTTCTTTTAACACTTATTTTTATTTTATTTATTTATTTATTTATTTTTGAGAGAGAGCAAGTGGAGGAGGGGCAGAGAGAGAGGGAGGCAAAATCTCAAGCAGGCTCTACACTGTCAGTGCAGAGCACTATGTGGGACTTGAACTCACAAACTGTGAGATTATGATCTGAGCTGAAATCGAGAGTTGGACATTTAACCAACTGAGCTACCCAGGCACCTCTCTGTTTCCTACTTTTTTGATGGTATTGTTTGTAGCACCAAAGTTTTTAATTTTCATGACTCTGAATCTAGCTACTTTTTTCTTTTGTTGCTTAGGCTTTGATGTCATTTCTAAGAAGGTTTGCCTAACTCCAGGTCATGAAGATTTACCCCTATATATATATTTTTAGGAGTTTTATGGTTTCAGCTCTCATATTTGTCTTTGATCCATTTTGAATTAATTTTTGTGTATGATGTGAGGTAGGGATCCAATTTCATTCCTTATATAGATATCCACTTGACCCAACACTATTTGTTGAAGAGACCAGAGAGATCTTTTAAAAACATAGATCAGATTACAAACCTTCTCTGTTTAAACTTTCAATAACTTTCCATTGCACTTAACAATAAAATCCGAATTTCTCTGCCTACCTCTTCACTCTCATTTTATGCTACTCTCTCTCTTGCTCACCATGCTGCCTGGTCTTTATGCTACTCTCTCTCTTGCTCACCATGCTGCCTGGTCTTTCATTCCCCAGAATAAATAAAGCTTTCTTTTCCCTTAGCTTTCTCATGTTTCTTCATTTCTCACCTTAAATATCTTCTCGTAGATGACTTTTCTCAACCTTTCTTCTAAAACAGATTCTCTGTCCCATCCCACTTTTTTTTTTATATCATCTCCTTTAATTTTCTTCATAGCTTTAATTATCTATGTATCTGCATTTGTTTTACTGCGTTTTTTTTTTAATGTTTTTATTTATTTTTGAGACAGAGACAGACAGAGCACGAGCACGGGAGGGGCCGAGAGGGAGGGAGACACAGAATCTGAAGCAGGCTGCAGGCTCTGAGCTGTCAGCACAGAGGCTGACAACGACGACGACGACATGTGTCTCACTCAAACTCACCCACTGTGAGATCATGACCTGAGCTGAAGTCAGAGGCTTAACCGACTGAGCCATCCAGGCGCCCCCTGTGTTACTTTTTACTTTGGTAATACTTCTTTGCATTTGCCTTCGTGTTTTGCATATGACATACATTCAATTCACAAATCATGTTGTTAGAAACTAGAATTTACAATTAGACGGGACGTTAAAAATTACCTTCAACTACTCCTTCTTTACAGGTGAAAAAAACAAAGTCTAAAGAGTGTGAGTTGTCTGGGGTCAGAGAAACAGTAGCTAGCTTTGATTCTGAGAGCTATAATTTCCACAACAGTTTCATTTTCATTTGCAACAATGATTTGCCCTATTCCAATGTCATGCAATGTTTGCAAAAATCACTAAAATGAAGACGAGTTTTCTTGTTGTTGTTGTTGTTGTTTTAATGTTTATTTATTTTGAGAGAGAGAGAGAGAGAGAGAGAGAGAGAGAGAGAGAGAGAAAGAGAGAGTTCCAAGCAGGCTCCATGCTGTCAGCATGGTCTAAGGTGGGGCTTGAACTCACCAACCTGGAGGTCATGACCTGAACTGCAAGCAAGAGTCCAACCATTAACCAACTGAGCCACCCAGGCACTCAAAATAGGAGGGTTTTTAGCAATTTGTTACAGAAATGACATTATTTTTCTAAGCCTTCATTCTAAGATGCCTAGAATGGGCCCTCCAATGGATGGACAGGACCTGGTTAGGAAGGCCAGAAGTCACACTTCACAACGGCACTAAATCGGACTTCTTTGTTTCTCCCTCCTTGGCTGTCCCACCTCCCTCCCTTTCCCTTCTTCCGGGTCAACCCCCCCAACACCGCTACCCCCGAGGCTCCGCCCCCTTCAGGGCCGCGTGCCCTGCGCCAAGATGGCGCCAGGCGCTTCTGCTTCGGAAGTGAGCTCACACTACTCCGGAAGGGAAGGCGGGGAAAGAGCAGGCGGGTGGGTGACCCGCTGTGGGGCTGTGGGTGGGGCGGCGACCGCAGCTGTGGTATTCACGCTTGGGGCTGGGGAGAGGGCGAGGGACTCGCCGGTCTTGGGAGCCCAGTCGAGGGCCCAGGGCCGGGGGCGTTGGAGGAAGTCGCCCCGAGCGGCTCACCACTGGCCGGAGGAGAGGCGGCCCTGGGAGCCGGCGTCCCGCCCCCGGCGGCCTCCTTCCCCAGCCCTCCTCCCGGGTTGCGCGCGGGCGGTCCCTGTTCTGTCACGGGGGCTGCGGCGGGAACCGTCGAGCGGGCTGGACGGAACCCTCCGCCAGAGGACCCGCTGGAGGAGCAGAGGGAGCGCGGCGGGCCAGTCCGTCAGCTCAGAGGTCAGGCCTCGGGTCGCGGTCCGTGGTCCTCCGTCCTTCGGCGAGCCCTCTTGGCTAAGAGTCCCCGACCTCCCCGCACTGCTTCTGCTTCTCCTTTGAGTATACCACCAAACCCTCTGGCAGGGTGATTTTTTTCCTCCTTGCATTTGCCGGGAAAGAGATATATATTTAAAGGGTTTCTGTCCTCATTGCTACCCTTGCCCTCTTAAAAGTTTTCCTTTGGTAGGAATGCTTGTATTCCTTCCCTGGACCATTTGATGGTTCCCATCCAGCCGCGGCCTGATTTAGCAACTGGAATCACCTTCAGATCAAGTCTTAAAAATTCGCACCTACAAAACTACTCTACAGAGTTGTTCCCTCCCGCCCAAGAAGGGCAAATGGACTTTGGAGTTAAGATGCAGGGGGGTGAACCAGTGTCAACAATGAAAGTCTCAGAGAGTGAAGGAAAGCTGGAGGGCCTGGCCACAGCGGTGACCCCAAACAAGAACAGCAGCAACAGCAGCTGTGGGGGTGGAATCAGCAGCAGCAGCAGCAGCAGTAGTCGCGGTGGCAGTGCAAAAGGCTGGCAGTACAGGTAGGTCCTTTCCTCAAGGTGATTTCCTCAGGTGGGGGTGACTATGCTGGAGTCTGCATTTCGGCGGTTGTTGAAAGGTAAAGTTACCTAGTGACTTCCAGAAGCAACTAATACATCTCATTTGGACCTGGGATCTCATCTTTCATAAGCAAGATTTCATTCATTCATTCGTCCATTCAACAGGTATTTATGGAAGGCCTTTAGGAGAATACATAAGTGTATCCCTGAACTTCCTCTACATCCCTAGAGTTCATTCCTCTTCTGATTTAATTCTGTGCTCACTTCTGCTTTTGTGTGTGTTGTAATTTGTTTACAGGCCTGTGTTTACAGTTCCTGCTTGACTGTGAAGGCAGGAACTGCTTAACTCAGCTCTCTCCAGAGGCTAGGAAATGCTAGGTGCTCAAACATATTTGTCAAGTGATTGAATGGAATCATTGAATAAGAAAAGATTCTTGCGGCCCCTGGGTGGTTCAGTCTGTTAAGCCTCTGATCCTGGCATGGGGCTCTGTGCTGATAGCTCAGAGCCTGGAGCCTGCTTTCTCTCTCTCCCTCTCCCTCTCCCTCTCCCTCTCCCTCTCCCTCTCCCCATTTGCACTCTTTCTCTCAAAAATAAGCATTAAAAAAAAAAAAAGATTTTTGCCCTCATGGTGTTTGTGACTTAGAAGGGGAGATACACGTAAATAATTTGAACACAGGGGCACAGATATAGATACTGGTGCCTCTAATACTCTAAACCAGGGAGACTGGAGACATTTCAGTTTGAGTTGGTCAGGCCATTTAACTCTGTCATGATGAGAAATTCTACATGTGTTAATTTTCATTAATATGGAGGATAAATTTAAGGAGCAGGAAGAGAGTGCTGGAGAAGCAATGGTAGTTTTGTTTTTGCTTTTGATGAGTAAAGTATAGGAGGATATAACCAGAATCTTTTTAATTGAGATATATTTTACATGTAACATTAGATTCAAGTGTACAACATGATTCCCTATTTGTATGTGTTGATCACCACAGTAAATTTAGTGAACATCCATCACCATACATAGTTACAATATTTTTTTTATTGTGATGAGAACTTTTAAGATTTCTCTCTTAGCAACTCTCAAATACACAAAATGTTATCATTGATTATAGTCACCATGCCGTACATTACATCCCCAGGACTTATGTTGTAACTGGAAGCGTGTACCTTTTGGCCACCTTCACCCAATTCACAGTCCATGCCTCCACCCCATTCCCCCACCTCTGGCAAACCACTGGTCTGTCCCTATCTAGGAGTTCATTTTTATTTTATTTTGTTTTGTTTGCTTTTTTTAGATTTCATGTATAAGTGAGATCACACAGTATTTGTTTGTCTGACTTCACTTAATGCCCTCAGGGTCCATCCATGTTTTTGCCAATGGTAAGATTCCCTTTTTTTTTTGGTGGCTAAATAATATTCCATTTTATATACTACATTTTCTTTATTTGTTCATCCGTTGATGGACACTTAGGGTGCTTCCACGTCTTGGCGATTGTAAATAATGCTGCATTGAACATAGGGGTGCAGATAATCTTTTCAAGTTAATGTTTACTTCTTTTAATGTTTATTTTTGAGACACACACACACACACACACACACACACACACACACGGAGCATGAGTGGGGGAAGGGCAGAGAGAGAGAGGGAGACACACAGACTCTGAAGCAGGCTCCAGGCTGAGCCTATCAGCACAGGGTCCAATGCAGGACTCGAACTCACAAACCGTGAGGTCATGACCTGAGCCCAAGTCGGATGCTTAACTGACTGAGCCCCCCAAGTGCACCCCCCCTTTTTTTTTCCAGATAAATACCCAGAAGTAGAATTGCTAGATCACCAGAATCTTAAGAAAGAATGAATTCAGGCTATACCATTGTATTGTAGCTAAAGAAATGAATTGTTAAATTTTGGTTAACTGACTCCCTGTGTACTTAACTCTAGTCATTTTTAGTCCTGTGCTATTTGTAGTTGTGAAATTTGTGTGAAACTTGAAAGGGATTAAAGCCAAGATTTTGTGGGACACCTGAATGGCTCATTTGGTTCAGTATCCAACTCTGGATTTTAGCTTGGGTCACAATCTCACGTTTTTTGAGTTTAAGCCCTGAGTCAGGCTCTGTGCTGCTTGGGATTCTCTTTCTCTCTCTCTCTCTCTCTGCCCCTTCCCACACTCACTGTCTCTCTCTCTCTTTCAAAATAAATTAAAAAAAAAAAGCTAAGATTTTTGTGAACATATATACTTAACTATACACAGTATACACATAATATCCATATGTGTGAAATATGCATGACTATTAGCATACAGAAATGAAGTGTAGAAAATTATAACTTTATTGGTAAGTGATTTTAGGACAGGAAAGTATATTTAGTTACTGTGAGATATTTAGGGTCACTTTTGGAATCAACATGATCCTTTTTTTTGGTGGCTGAAGACTAACCATGTAAGATTATCAATTACTTGGCAAGGATATTTTGATATGACTTAAGGAAGCAAAATAAAGTAACATTCCAAGTCAGAAGTCTGTCTTCTGATAGATATCCTCAACTTTTTGAAACCCACTCTCAGTTGAATTAAAACGTGAAACAGAATTTTTAGCCCTGGAGAGAGTTGTCATAAAGCCACGCACTTTACTCCTGTACTTCAATTCAGAACTGTATTATCCTTTGTTTAGTGTATTATTTAATGGTTACATGATTTTCAAACTAGAATCTATTGGAAGCACATATGAAAAAGGTTATCACGGTAAATGTACCAGAGAAAATGGCAACTGATAAGTGTAGGACAGCCCAAGAAGATTTGAAAAATTAACATGCAGACTCAGCTATATTGCTTCCTAGTACAATAATCAGTCATAATGGCCTTAAGTCATCTAGGAAAGCACAGTGTGTAGGAAGACAGAACCACGTGATACAGTGTTGAACAATTTCAAAGAAAATAGCTGAAAGAAAAGATGCTTAAATATTTGGAAAGTGCAGTTATGTGAAACTCTTCCCCAAGGGTGCAGATATATAATGTGTTACTGCATTTGCATACTGACATATTTTTATTTTAATGAAGTTTGTCCAAGACTAATCCTTCAACCTAGCTCTCAATTTAATTTGTCCCTTTGTCCTCTAGGACATTGATGAAGCAGTTTTCTCCATTGCCCTGGGTTGCTCTCTCTTCCTGGCTTCTTCCTCTGAGACTCAAAGTTTCTAGACTTAAAAAAACAAGTATAGTAAAACTCAGCCTAATTCTTTCCTCTTAAAACTCATTTACACACAGCTGCTTCCATTTCTTTAATCCTTGTTTATTGCTCAACCCATGATATTTGGCTCTATCCACACCAAGAATAGGAGTGAAAAAATGATGAATTTTTTTTAGATTCTTATTCCCATTGATTTCTCTATAACTGTATTAGTTACAATTCTTTTCTTGCCTTTTCTTTTCTTTCTTTTTTTTTTTTTTTTTTAAAGATTTTACTTTTAAGTAATCCCTACACCCACCATGGGGCTTGAACTTACAACCCCGAGATCAAGAGTTGCATGCTCTACTGACTGGGCCAGCCAAGCGCCTCTCTTTTCTTGAGTTTTTGATATTACTTTCTCTTGGTTTCTCCTTTACCCTCTGAATGTTTTTTTTCTCCGTTTCTTTGGTTGGCTCTTTTCCTTAAAAGGCTGGTATGATATTCCATCATTTTCTTTCCTTAAGCTGCATGTTTTCTGTTTGTTATCTCATTCTCTTCCATGGCTTCAGCTATTTCTATAATTTCAGAGGCAATACATTCAACTGCCTACCTGTAATTTGCTACTGTTCCATTTTAAAAGTGGAGATTTGGGGAGCCTGGGTGGCGCAGTCGGTTGAGCGTCCGACTTCAGCCAGGTCACGATCTCGCGGTCCGTGAGTTCGAGCCCCGCGTCGGGCTCTGGGCTGATGGCTCAGAGCCTGGAGCCTGTTTCCAGTTCTGTGTCTCCCTCTCTCCCTGCCCCTCCCCCGTTCATGCTCTGTCTCTCTCTGTCCCCAAAATAAATAAATGTTGAAAAAAAAAATTAAAAAAAAAAAAAAAAAGTGGAGATTTTTGGTTATGTCTTACTGAGTAGTTGAAATTCAGTAAAGACCCTGTGATTCAGACCTGGACTTTAGCTTTACAAACTTAGAAAATTAATAGGCATCATGTTTTTGAGGTTTATAAATGCTGTCACATATCATTCCTTCATTGTTTTTTATGACTGAATAATATTCCATTATACGAATATACCATATTTTGTTATTCATCATTTGACAGACATTTGGTTTGTTTCTGTTTTGTTGGTATTATGAATAATGCTACTTTGAACGTTTGTGTGCAAGTTTTGTGTGGATATGTGTTTTCATTTCTCTTGGGTGTATATCTAGGAGTGGAATTGCTGGGTCGTATGGTAACTTTACGCTTAACTTTTTGAGGAACTGTCAGATTTTTTTTTTTTTAATTTAATTTAATTTTTAGAGAAAGAGCACAAGTGGGGCAGAGGGGCAGAGGGAGAGAGAATCTCAACCAGGCTCCACACTCGGTGCAGAGCCCATTGCAGGGCTTGATTCCACAACTGTGAGATTGCGACCTGAACCAAAATCAAAAATCAGACACTCAACCCACTGAGCCACCCAGGTGCCCCCAGACTATTTTCTAAAGTAGCTATACCATTTTACATTCTTGCCAGCAGTTTATTGAGTTTTAACTTCTTCATATTCTTACCAGCACTTTATTGTCTTTTTGATTAAAAAAAAATTGTTTTTTACATTTGTTTTTTTTTTTTTTTAGGTTTTTTTTTTTTTTTTTTTGAGAGACAGAGACAGAGCACAAGTCGGGGAGGGGCAGAGAGAGAATGAGACACAGAATCCGAAGCAGGCTCCAGGCTCTGAGCTGTCAGCATAGAGCCCAACGCAGGGCTCAAACCCACAAACCGCGAGATCATGACCTGAGCCGAAGTTGTACGCTCAGCTGCTCAACCATCTAAGCCACCCAAGCG